AAAGGAGGCCTCGCTGCAGCTGGCCCAGCAGCAGGGGGAGCTGCAGGCAGCGGTCGCGGCGCTGGAGCAGCAGAGGGCCGCGCGGCGCACTGAGATCATGGAGGAGGAGCAGGTGAGGGAGGATCCGTTGGGCGGGACGTGCGCGTTTGGGGGCCTGGGCCCGCCCTCATGCCCTTTGCTCAATCTGAGTTTGCAGTACAGCCAGCAGAACAGCTTCCTTCCTGGCAATTGTCCACACATCGACTTTTGTCGCGGTGGCGTTACTGGTGACATGTTTCATCCCAATCACCCTCCACATTTTACCCAGGCGATGGCGGCGAAGCGCGAGGGCCTGCAAAGGGAGGAGGCGGTGCACGCCCAGGCGGTCGAGGAGCGCACTGCCGCCATGACTAAGTACTTCCAGGTGGGAGGGGGTCCTGCTCCCCAGCACCTGCAGGGCTGCTAGAGGTTGTTCAGTGTGCGCTGCCTGCCACAAGTCAGAGCACGTGTGTGCGCCCCCAGCGCGAGCGACCAGTCTGCACGCCGCTTCTCCAGGGGCTTCCGCCGTCGCGTCAGCCTTGCCCCTCACCTTCCCCTGCCCTGCCCGGCCGCTTGCTGCCTCCCCAGTCTGCTCAGGCGCAGCTGGCGCGGGGCCAGGCGAAGCTGCAGCAGCGCAAGGAGGCGTGGTCACAAGAGTCTCGGGCGCGGCAAATGGTGCGCCGCGCATGCACACCCTGCTGGGGGCGCAGCTTTGTGGGAGACGCGACGGGTGGTCTTGCTGTGCGGGCATGCCGGCGCCTCGGACGCTCAGTTTTGCGGGCTGCCAGCTGCACGCGGTGCCACGCCTGTGACGTGCCCGCTGTCTGATTGGAGAACAAAAACAGCTACTTATCAACCCCCACCCACTGCAGCACATACACACACAAACACACGCACGTACGCGCGCGCGCGTGCATTCACACGCACACGCACGCACACGCACACACACGCACACACACGCACACACACACACACACACACACACACACACACACACACACACACACACACACGCGCACGCGTGCGCGCATGTGAACGCTTGCGTCACGCAGGCGCAGGAGCGGGTGGACCGTGAGCTGCGCGCCAGGGAGGAAGGGCTGCAGGTCATGGAGGAGGACATGCGCACCAGGCTGGTTGCGGCGGGCATGGCCGCTATGGCCGTGCGAAATGTGATGATGAGGGCAAAGGCAGCGGACGCGGAGGCCGCCGTGATGCAGGTGCGGGCGGGCCGACAGAGGGTATACGGACTAAAGGGGTTTGGGGGTGGGAGGGAGATGCAGCCTGGTGCACAAACGACACGGCGCTGTGCACCGCAGGTAGGGAGGTTTGTGCATTCATAGCCCGGCTTTAGGGCCTGATGTGTCGTTGTCTTGGTTGTGGGTGGCCACTGCCAGCTGCCTTTGCTCACTCCTTGCCCTCTGGTGCATAAGTGACCACTCACCATCGCCCCTTGCGCCGTTACCGCATCGTCTCGGGCAGGCGGAGGCAAGGCAAGACGACGCCGAGCGGCGGGAGGGCGAGGCGCTCGTGGCGGCCATGGTGGCGGGTGCATTCGCCAAGGCTGAGCAGCAGGCCGCGGCGCACGGTATGGAGGAGCTGCAGCGGGCGGTTGATGCGTTCGAGCTGGAGCGGGCTCAATGGCGCGTGATGGTCTCGGAGGAGGAGCAGGTGAGGGGATTGGTTGTCAGTCGTGGGGTGTTGTCTTCAGGGCGGGCGGAGGTCCACCCCCCTTGCCATATGCATGGCTCCGTTTTCGGGGGGCAGCCGAACACTCTGCATTTTTCCAGCAGCGGCCCGCCCCTCGATTCATTTATGTGTCTACCCAGGCCGATGCCGCGACCTGCCATCCACCGCGCCCGCCCTTGACGCAGGCACTGGCGGCGAAGCGCCAGGCCCTGCGCGTGGACGAGGCCGCCCACAGCGAGCTGCTGGAGGCGAGGCAGGGCGCGTTCAACTTCTGCTGCCAGGTCAGCGGGTGGTGCGGCCTGGTGGCATCTGCAGGGTGCCGACGGCGAGCGCTGCTCTGTATGCTGCCTGTTTGCAGTCTACGACAGGCCCAGCTATGCCACGCAGCCTTCAAGCGGGCTACGCCAACACTCCCTGCCCTGCGCTTCGTCCTTTAGCCCCCCCCCTTCCTCAAACGGCCCCTTCGTCCCCCAACTCCCTAGAGGAAGCGGCAGGAGGTGGCGCAGGCAAAGGAGGAGGTGCGGCAGAGCAGGGCGGCTTTGGAGCGGGACGAAAGGGCGCTGGACGTGGTGGGTCGCCGGAGGCGCGCCCTGCTTGGGAGTGGGGGAGCACTGGGCAGTCATTGCTTGAATGGCAGGCCCGTTGCTATCGGCGCGGTGCCAGGGCAGACTGGCGGCCAGAGGCACCAGCACTCCTGCGCCACGCGCCAGCCTCGGTGCAGCTCACGTGCACTGTTGGCAACCTACAGAGCGCGCTGCAAATGCATCACTTCATCTTGCTTGCGCATACGACCAACACCCCATGTGCGCCGCAGGAGCGTGAGAGGTCTGACGTGGAGCTGCGTGCCAGGGCGGAGCAGCTGCGCAGGGAGGAGGAGGACTGCCTCACCAGGCTGGCGGCTGCGGACATGACCGCCACCGCCTTCTCCAGGGTCATCATATGGGCGGAGGTGGAAGACGCGCAGGCGGTAATGAAGCAGGTGAGGGGGGTGAGGGGCTGCTGCATGTATGTAGACAAGGACTTGGTGCCGAACCGCGTGCTGTAGCCTAGGAGCCCGACCTATGCGTGGTGCCCTTGCTTGTTGCTTTCCACCATCTAACCTCTACCCACGTGTGCTCTAACGACGCCTCACAATGGCCCCTGGCGCTTTTACATTTCCCAACAGGCCGAGGCGCGGCGTGTCGACGCCGAGAGGCGGGAGCGTGAGGCCATCGTGACAGCCGTGGTGGTGGGCGCAATTGTCGGTGTCAAGCAGCAGGCCGCGGCTTGTGAGCTGCAGGTGAGGCCGCCTGGGGAAATGGGCGACGGCGCGGCGGTGGTGGCGGTGGGCTTGTGGTGCCGGCCAGCTATGCTCGCTGCATTCCAGCCCCAGTGTCTGAACCCAACATGCCCCTGGATCAGTCCCATGCTGATCACGACTCCCCTCTCTGCCGGTGGCAGGGGGTGGCGGCCGAGCTGGAGTCTCTGAAAAAGGAGAAGGCCGCCCACGGCGCCGTCACTGTCGCTGCCGGGGCGGCCGATGTTATGGGCTGCTTCATCATGGTGCGCGAGAGGGGCTTGGGTGGATGGGCCGCCCCTTAGAAGCAGCGGAACCCTGCAGGGCGCCCATGAGGCGGGGCTGTGCACACTCAGCGCCAGGGAAGTGGCCGCGCGGCTGCGCACTACAGAGCAGCTCCTGCCGCGTCATGACCCGTGTGAAAGCCTTGATGCTGGTTACCTGGGGCCCCAGCCACGCTGCAACGTGTTTCTCCTATCCAAGGGGCCCTTCACATCCTGCGCGCTGCGCCTCACCTGATCGCTCATGACTTCAGGAGCCATCCGAGATGGCAGCGCCGCCGCACCAGGGGACGGAGTGCGTGGACGGCACGCCGCCGCAAGAAGAGGAGGAGGATGTGCCAGGGGGAGATGCGGAGGGCTGCGCGCTGAGCGGGGAGCGGTCACTCCAGGTGAGGGGTGGCTTTGCTGGGGTTACAGGTTGGTGGGCATGCCTGTTTCAGATCCCTACAGAGCGTGTGCAATAGACTGCGATTTCTGGGCGTCTTCACTGCTTGTGCCTGCTGCCTGCAAAGGGCTGGTGAAGCCTGCAGCCTACTTTCCCTGTTGCGCGGGCCTTGGCGGGCCTTGCCTCAGCACCTCCTCCTGATCGGCTCGCTCGCCCCTGTCGTCACCCACAGGCCCTCACGACGAGCACCAAGATGGAGGCAGGGGAGGCGCCCCATGGCCCTCCAGGCCAGGAGCCGCAGCCAAACTCTGCCTGTGGGGCCACGGATGAGGGCCAAGACCAGGTGAGTGGCTATCAGGCTGGTTTGGTGGCTGGGCAGGCTGAGGGCAACGAGGAGGGGCGGGCGGGTGACCCGGAATATGGCCGCTCAGCTGCCTTATGGGCGTTGTCAAACTGGCCAGCCTTCAACCGTTGAGCAGCAAAACCCCTCCATTCCAGCGGCCTCTTGCACACGTCCATACGCATCGCCCTCACGCTCACCGACGCAGGAGGCCGAGGCGCCCGCGGCATCAGTCATTCCTGAGGCCAATGCCAGCGCCGGCTTCAGCGACGACGCCAGCACGCCGCAGGACTCTGGGGAGCCCACCCCGCGCACCAGCAGCACTGGCGGGGCCCTGCAGGCCGAGAGCATGGGCGAGGGCGAGGGCGAGGGGGAGGGTGAGGAGCAGCCTCCCTCGCTGCTGACTGCCGGGGCCGACGTCAGTGGCAGCCCGCAAGAGGCGGGCGGAGACGACGAGGCCTGGCAGGGTCCGGACGGGGAGGAGCCGGCGGCAGACAGCGTGCCCTTTGTCCGAGGCCGCCACACCCGAGGGGGCAAGCGGCACAGGAGGTTCCTTCGACACAAGGCCAGGGAGGAGGAGGAGCGCGAGCAGCAGTTGCTGTTGGAGCAGCACCTGCAAGAGCAGCAGCTGCAGCAGGCGGAGGAGCACGTGCAGCAGCAGCAGTGGGGGCAGCAGCACTGCTGGCAGCAGGCACAGCAGCAGCAGCAGCGGCAGCAGCATGCGCGGCAGCAGCATGCGCGGCAGCAGCAGCAGCAGCAGCAGCAGCAGCAGCAGCAGCAGCAGTGGCAGCCACCCGTCCATGCGGGCGTGAAGGGGTGGCCCCCACAGCTGCTGGCAGCTGGCGGCTGGGACTTCAAAAGGGCGGTCGTTCCGGGGTCAGGGCAGGGCTCCGCTAGCTTTGATGCTGGGCGGCGCGGCCCTCTGTACCTGCAGCAGACTGCGGCCGTGTACGGTCCCCAGGGCGGCGGGACGAAGGGAGTGCCGCTGCATTGGCAGGCTGCGTCTGCCGGTAGTCAGGCGGGCAACATGGCGCATCTGAACGTGGGGCCGCCCATCAATGGCGCGCTCTGGCGCGGCGGGCGCGTCCCCGGCACGTTCTTAAACGCGTGATTTGGATGTTGTAAGGGGCCTTCAGACATTCAGGGCCGTGTGCATGCGCGTGCATTGCATGGTTTTCTACCCTGACTGCTGATGTCTGAGCCCCTTTGTGGCAACCTAATGGCTGGGGAACGCGTATGCAGCGGTCATGCACTACTTGCTTTCCTCGGAAAGGCGTGTGAACTCCCTAGCAACAAGAAGGCAGTGGTCTGACGTCACGGTGGTTCTCGTGCCGGGTGACGTCTGCCTGCAATATTGCCTCTGTCTTGTGCCTGGATTTCAGAATCAAGTGCTGGCATCTTGCATGATTTTGTGGGTTACAGTATGTTCAGGCGTCATGTGATCAGGTGGCTCGGTAGGCAGGGAGCATGACATTTAAGAGAAAAGACCTCAACCGGCAGACGGACAGACACAGGTCAGTTTGGCATGCGAAATGATTATATGGCCATGTGCCCGCTTGGCTGCGCTCGTGGTTTTGTGTGCAGTGCGAGAGGTATGACGGGAGTGCCAGCAGTATATTGTATGCGGCAAAGCGGTGCACTGGCGGCGCGGGCCGCCGTGACAACTTTGTTGGCAGCCGAGTTCAAGTGGGCCGCGCGGTTGGCCTTGAGCGCCCCAAATGCTCCTGCAGGGCGCTTGTCTCACCCCAGGAGAAGGCCGTAACCCCTGATCGTGCGCGCGTTTCGCCACACGCAATGATTGATGGGATACAAAAGGTAAAGAAAGGTGGCGAGACGCATTGGCAGTGGTAGAGAGAACCCAGTTGGCCCAGGGGCCCCCAGCCGCGCGTCCCTGGCAAGCGGACTCTGGTTGTGGGACTTGCGCCCCGCTATTGCTCCCCGACTGCACCCAGGGGCGCGGCGACTACGGTGTGCGGTGTCGCTGCTCGGCGCGCGGCGTGAGTGCGGCGCATTCGCGGCAAACGCATTGGAGTGACATTTGAGATCATGGCGTCCGAAACATTAGATCAATTGCAACATGATGTTTGCCTACGGAGTGGCGATTTCTCCGAGGTTGCTGACGCCCTCGCCCAGGGCGCGCCTTGAATATCGGCTATACCACCCAGCACCAGCACCGCTTATTCAGGCGTGCGCAGTGGCGACGTGCCGGGGCGGCTCTCGGGAGCCGCGGCCAGGCGGGTGGTCCGCACGACAGGCTGCATCGGCTTGTATAAGCACAAGCCCATGATGGGGCGCGGCCGAGGAAAGGGAGGCGCGACCTCCCTGCACTGACATCTCACCCCAGGCTTTCATGCCTTCACTGCCTCGACGGCGGCCGTCTCGCGCCGCAGGGCACCCCAGCCGCTGAAGCCGAGTCGGGCCAGCATGCCCGACGCCCCGGCCGCGTCGCGACCGCAGCTGCCGCCGGCCGCGGCGCAGTCTGCCGCGTGGGCGGGCGGCGAGTCGCAGTCGCAGTCGCAGCCTGGGCCCGCGCACGCGTCGACGCGCACGAGGGGAAGCGGCGCGAGCGCCACAGGGATGCCGTCTGCTTTTGGGGTCGCGCCAGAGAGCGCTGCGATGACAGCCTCTGCCAGCACGCGCTCCGCCGCCGCCTTGGCCTCGCACGCCGCGGCCGCCGCCGCGTCGGCGCGCGCCTGGCCTTCGGCCGCCTCGGCCCGGGCCCGTGCTGCGGCTACAGACGCCTCCGCGGCCGCCTCGGCGGCGGCCGCTGCCTCGGCGGCGAGCGCCTCCTGAATGTCCGGCAGCAGCGTCGGCCGCGCAACGGGCGCAAACCTGAACAGCCGCGCGACGAGCCACACGCCCTTGCACGCGGCGCCGCCGCAGCCGACCTCCCCCCGGTAGTACGCGTCAAACGCGCGGCCACCGCCCTCCTTGCCCACAAACATCGGCCGCCGCAGCTTCTTGCGCAGCTGCCGCGCGCGCCGCAGACCGAGCAGGGCCGCGGCACCGCTGACGTCGGAGGCGGCCGCGAGGGCGGCTGCGGCGTCGGCGCGCGCGCGGGGGGCGTCGCAGCCGGCGGCGGCCTTGGCGCTGCCATCTCCAGAGGCGCAACCAGCGCTGGCGCCGCCATTTTCGGCGCCGTCGGCATCAAAGGCGCAGGAGAAGGGGCCTTCCAACATGACGTCCTGGCGCCGTGGCGTGTCGACGATGCTGCGGCCTCTGCGGCTGCCGCGGCACGCGCTGCTGCCGCTGCTGCTGTTGCTGCTGCTGCCGCTGCTGTTGCTAGCGGCGGTGGTGGTGGTGCTGCTGCTGCTGCTGTCCTTGTCTCTGCTCCTGCGGCTATGGCTTTCATGATGGCTGTGGCTGCTGCCGTGGCCGTCCCGAGCGTGGCTGTGGCCGCTTCCGCTGTGTGCGTAGTCTTGGCTACTGCCCCCGCTGTGGCCACCACCATCGCGGGTCCTGTGGCTGTGCCTGCGGTCCTTGCGGCGCTGGCGGCGTTCTTGCTGGCTGCGCTCCTGCTGCATCCCCTCACTTGTGCTGCTGCAGCCGCCATCGTTCCTGCTGCTTTGGGAGTCCCTCTTTCTGTGTTCCTCATGCTTGCTGCTGTCGTCGCGGCTGTTGATGGTTCTGCTGCTGCTGCCGCTGTTGCTGCTGCTGCTGTTGGCCATGGCTCTGCTGACACTACTGCTGCCGTTGCTGGTGCTGCTGCTGCTGCTGCAGCTGCTTTCGCCGCCAAAGCCGCCTCCGCCGCCGCCGGCATTGCTGCTGCTGCCGCCGCTGCTGGTCTTGTGGCGGCCCTTCTCGCCCTTCCTCTCGCAGCCCCCTTCAATGCTAGCAGCACTTGCGGCGCGCATCAGCTTCTGCGCTTGCTGCTCGGCGCAGGCGGCCTCTCGCACGAGCGCGTCTGCCATCCATTGCTGCTGCTGCTTACGGCGGCTGCGGCGCTTCTGGCGCTGCACCTCAAGCTCCTCGCCGCCAGCCGCTGCCACAGCACTCCAGAATGCTGACTTGGCGTCGGCCGCAGTGGCTGCCACTTCCACATCTTCCTGTTGTAGCTGCGCGTTGCCGGCCTCCTGCAGCTCAGGGCGCGCTGACACTGCCGCGCCCACTGCCCCGCCAGCATCTTTGGACACAGTGGCAGCGTCGGCGCCGTCCACGGCGGGGTTGTCAGCAGACAGGCTGGCAGCGCCGCCGTCATCACGGCCCGCGGCCCCGAAAGTCGCAGCGGCAACAGCAGCCGTGCTGTCCTCGCTGTCCACGTCCGTGGACTCGACTTTGCCCGGCACGTTCGCCATCAAGGGCCCGAAACCGCTGCTGCCACTCTTGCCGCTGTTATCGTTGTTGCCGTTGTTGCCGCTGCTGCCGCTGCTGCTGCCGCCTTCCTTGCTGCTGCTGCCGCTATGCTGCTGGCGCAGCTGCAGCCGGTTGCCACAGGCCAGGCCAGACAGCAGTGAGGCCGCACCCTGGCGTAGCAGGCGCGAGGCGCCGGCCAAGGGTTTCCGCCTCGTGCCGGCCACCGCCACAGCCCCGACGCTGTCGGCGTCGCCGCCCGCCACCGCGCAATCCCAGCAGCGGCCGCGTTTCGTCCGTACACCTTGGAGCTGGGCCGTGGCGGCAATCATTGATTTGCTCTCAGCCGTCTGGGGCAGCACCGTTGCGGTCTCTGCAGCGACAGCTGCCGCATCTGCAGCCAAGGCTGCGTCCACGCCCGCGTTCTGGTGGTCTGCCATCTGGGCAAGCAGTGTGCCGCGTATGTGGTGCAGCAGCGCGGCGGCAGCTACGGCCTGGTAGGTGTGCGAGTGCCGCCGCTGCCGCAAAGAGAGCGCGCCGCTGCGCCGCAGCAGGAGCTTTGGCTCAGTGCCGGCTGCGTACGGTGCGGCGTCGGGATGGTGCGGGGGGAGGGGGCCCGGTGTGGGGGCGGGCACAAACGGGCGGGCGTTTTACCAGGACACACCAGGGGGGGCGTGTGCCCTGTGCTACTTCGTGGCGCATTCTAGGCGCTCAGGGATGTATGGAGCTGCGCTGCAGCCACTCGTGCCTGGCCGCTTGGCGTAATCGAGGCCATCAACACGCCCTCCACACGTACGCACCGATCTTGCGAGTGAGGCCAGCGGGCACAGAATAACCGCTGGCAGCGTACGCTGGCAGAAGCAGCACCGCCGCCGAGCTTGCGACCGCCGCCGTAGAGGCGGATCCACCAGCGCCCATTGAGCTGCATGGGCGGGCGCAGCCAGAGCACACCAGTGCAGTGCCTTGAGCTGTTGCAGGGGTGCGGCACTGCCGGCACAGCGGGCCGTGCACATGTTGGCAGATTGCGCATGATACGCACGCGAAGATGTATGATTTATTGAATTTTCTATTTGATACCAACCTCAAATCGTGGTGCACTCCAGGACAAGCCCTGTTGCTGTGCTGGCCGAATCAAGAACCGCGGGGCTTACAGGCACCCCTTTTCTTCAACACGCTGCATTAATTCCGTGCTCCTCAAGCTGAACGCGAAAGCCGCGGGCCGATGATTCTGCAACCCGCGGCCTAGCGGCTACGACGCCCCAGAAGGGACGGTCGCGCGAGGCCTAAGACGCCTTGATTTATATAGATACGTACATAGAGCCGGCTTCAACGGCGCTTCTGGGTTGATGGTGCCTGCGAGACGCTGGAAGCCCTGTGGACGCAGTTGCACCTGCGCCCTGCCAGGCAGGCGCCGCCACCCTGCCGCCAGCTCACGACAGGCTGTCAGCTATCCCTCGCAACAGCAACAACGGATATGAAACATCAATTGTTTTATCGTATTTTAACTGTATGAGTTACGGTAGTTCTCCCGCACTCAGACAGTCCAGCTCAGAACACGCATGATACAAAACGCTGAGCAGGTGTGTCTAGTAGAAGGCACCTGGTGGCAGCTGTCCCCATCGAGGCACGCAAGGTGAAATCGCGGGAAAGGCCTGCCGGTGACGGCATGGCATACCAACATGCCCCCAAACAGGCGGGCATTCGTACACGCTGCAGTGCTTAATCCAGTATGCATGCTCAACTTGTTCAAGTGAAATACGGCTTTACATGTCACGAGATCCTGCCAGATAAGACTGAACTCAGCACATAAACAAGCCACAGCATCTAACAAACAATTGTGTGCAAATGTGGTCGCTGTTCTCCAAAACCAAGGCACCAGCTTCTCAACACAAGGTAGTGGCGCTTCTTTGACTGAACGGCTTCTTTGTAAACAAGTGCAACTGTGCGTGCCAGTGTGTGTGCCAAGTTGGGCGTTGCGCGGATGCCTGCTGCCTGCAGCAACCCCACTATGCATCGTGATGGCCCGCCATGCTCACAGCCCCTTGAACAGCGAGTTGAGTGCGTTGGCCGCGTGCTCGGCCGCTGAGTTAACCAGCCTCCCGGCCTCCGCAGCGACGGCGGCCGACGGGTCAGCGGCGTCGCCGCCCGCTGATTCTGCGGCGGCTGAATCAGAGGAAGGCGCCTCGGGGATGACATAATCGGGGTCAAACTCGACGTCGGCGATGACAGGGCGGTGGTCCGAGCAGCAGTGGCCGTTCTCGCCTGGTGAGGGGCGGCAGGGCGCACGGGCTTTTGCTGGGCGGGGGCGGGTGAAACAGCCCGCAGGCCGGCCTATTCGACAGGGGGTGCTCAGGCACAGCAGGAAAGGGTGAGGAGGTGTGGCATTGCTGAGCAGCCAAGCCGCACAAGCTGAGAAGAGGTGCTCACGGGTGTCCGGGGCGACGCCGTATGCGGCAGGCTTGAAGCCCTTGTTGGCGAAAATGAAGTCGATCTGGCCATCAACACAGTGGGAACATATGTCCGCCAGAGACATGCAGGGCGGCGTGACAGGCATTGGCTAGTTGGTGGAATCGCAAGGGCGACAGCAGCCGCGCAACAGCATCTCACAGCCCCCTGCCACCTGACTCAAAGCATACATGCAAAGCTGCTGTTGCAAATCAATCTTCCTCAACACTCACCTGGCTGTCGATTGAGCAGTCAAAGCCCACAAATGTGCCAACCTGGTAAGATGATCGTACAGTAGATTGAGTTAAGTTATCATTGGAGTTAAGTTATCATCCCAACGTAGCGCCGCACCAACAACCAAAGGACAATCAATGGCCAGCCTCGAGAGGCCATGCAGCGCTCCCAAGTCCCATACTACATCAGTCCAACATTCAGTGGCAGGCGTACGCCCAGGGTCCTGGAGAATTTGATCCATTGAGCGAGGAGTGGATGGCGAGGGGTGGTCGACCCGTCAGCTGGGTTGATCACCACCCTGTCATTTGCGATCACCACCATGACCTCCTACAGCGTGCACACCCACCTTGCCCAGCAGCCCCTCGATGCTGCTGCAGCAACTGCTGCACTCTGTGAGCTCTGTGGTCAGGCACGCCACCGCGGGGGACTCCTCGCCGCAGTTCAGGTCACCTTGAGGGGGCACAGACGGGGGAAGTAAAGGGGGGCGCGGGTGAGCTGGGCAAACAGCCAAGGGCAAAGCGGCCCGTCCTGGAAATGGCGCTGGTGAGTTCGCAAGCATCAGGCAGGCAGATCATGCAAATGGTTGGATAGCAATGCGATACGCGTCACATCTACCGGCCACCAAGGGCGCGTTGATGGCGCGGCTCAGCAGCTGATGTGCTGGGATCTCACCGACAACGATCGTCGGCAGGCCCTGCGAGACAATGGGCAGCTGCTTCAGAAGCAGCTGCGCCGCCTTGGTGCGAGCTTCCTCACTCTCATGGTCGACTAAGGTTTTTTCACAGGTGGATGGGCATATAGGCTTGATTGGGTGGGCAGGTTGTTTGCTTGCGGAACAAGGGGCAGCAACACACGGTAGGTTCATAGGTGGGTCAAGCAGCATGGGTGCCAACAGTCTGCTGGCCAGCAGGTTGCCGCGTGGAGCTTGAACCAGACCGGGTCGTTGCTGACAGCGGCTAGGGGCCAGCTCACAGTGCGTGTTGACGAAGCACAGGCGCTTGCCACTCGCGGAAACTGTGAACCTGTGGTGAAGTCGGGGTCAACGTGAAGGTCATCGACGGGTGCTATTGCTTGGACGCCGACGTGGGCGACAATTTGCGGAGGGGGGGGGGGTGCTGCGCAGCAACCAGCAGATGTTGCTGCAAGGGCTTTGGTTGCTGTGCTGGCACACGCCAGGCCAAAAGGTTGCAGTGCTTGAGCGGAGACTCAAGCTGGTTGTATGTCGAGGCAAAGCTGGGCCTGCACCAACCGCCGGCTTTGCTCCTTGGCATATGTCCCTTTGCCAGCACCCTGTACAGAAACAAAACGTGCCCATACAACCCCGCTTGCTCATGCCGGCTATTACGCAGGCTGGGCCGGGCGGCTGCTCTCAAAGACAGGGCCCAAGCCGGCCTGGTGCGCCTGCCCACCTGCCCCAGGTGGCTATGCGCGGGAACGCAGAGCAGCTCCACTGTGAGCCGGGGACGTCCGGTGTGTCGCTGTACCAGAAGGTGCCGCTGGCCTCCAGGGTCAGCACAGACGAGTCGTAGAAGATGGGGTTGAGCTGGACAGGTGGGGTG